GCGGGTTCCATGCCTCGTGCGTCGCTGAAGGGGCAACCGGCGTGTTCTTGAAGAGCTTCGGCCCCCTTCGGCCGTGGCGGACCGATCTGGCGCCCGACGAGCGCCGCAGGAAGTCGGGGCCGACCAGTCGTGCTTTCCCACGGCGCCGTGCGCCCTTCTGGCGTCATGAGACAAGTTACAGGCGACAGGAGGAGGAGGAGGAGGAGAAGGAGGAGGAAGGGGAGGGGGGAGGAGGAGGAGGAGGAGGACCTGGTCGGAGTCACTCACCCCGCCCGCGAACGTTTGCGGGGCTGGGGGCCCACTGTTCGTTGGACCACTGATGTTGCGCGGGTCCACCGGGATGGCGGGGGGCCCGCCCCGCGAAGCTCCGCCGTGCCCCCCTTCCTTGGGGCCGCGTGGCCGGGGCGTCGGGCAGTGATGTGGTCTCAGGCCTGGCCAGGCCAGGGCAGACGCGAACCGCGACAGGCACCCGCCTGGGGAGGTCGAGGGCATCGGCGCATCGACGCGCGCTTGTCCGCAGCATCGAGCCTCGACACTCCGAGAAGCAGGAGGGCGCAGGCAGGACGCTGAGCCCAAGAGCAGGAGCAGTTCGGGTCTGAGGAGGGCTCGCTCAATTGTTGGCGGCCGTCGGGTCTGGCAGGGTCGCTGGTCATTGCGCTGGGCACGCGCGTGGGGCCCTGCACCGCCAGCGTCGGAAACTGGCAGGAGCCGCCTGCCAGTTCTCGAGCCTGCCTGTGGAGCTTCGGTGTTCAGTGTCCGGCTGCCTGCGGCAGGTCCTGCCGCCCAGCCTTTTGCGTGGCTTCTGATCGAGGGGGCGCGGGATGCTGTCACGTCTAACACCTCGCAACTCCAGGCTTGGGAGAGCCGTGATGATGATGGTGTTGCTGATGATGATGATGGTGATGATGATGATGATGATGATGATGATGATGGCGTTGCTGATTATGATGATGGTGATGCTGTCAATGGTGCTAGTGGTGATGGTGGTGATGATGATGATGATGATGGTGATGGTGATGATGATGATGTTGATGATGATGATGATGATGATGCTGACGATGATGTTGTTGAAGATGATTGTGTCGATGATGATGCTGATAATGATGATGGTGGTGACTATGATGATTGTGCTGATGAAGGAGATGAAGAAGAATATGATGATGATGATGACGACGACGTTGACGATGACGGCGATGATGCTTGTGATGTTGTTGGTGATGATGGTCGTGATGATCATTTTGATGAGAATGCTGACGATGATGATGATGATGATGATGATGATGATGATGATGATGAATCTGATGAAGAAGAGGACGATGATGATAATGGTTACGATGCTGCTGAGGAGGAGAAACAAGATGGTGGTGGTGGTGGTGATGAGGATGCAGATGCTGATTGCGATGACGATGATGGTGATGATGGTGATGATGATGATGATGCTGATGATGATGATGATGATGATGTTGCTGCTGATGATGATGGCGATTTCGATGGCGATTGCGTTGATGAGTTTGATGTGGACGACGACGAGGACGACGATGATGATGATGGCACCAGCATCATCCTCACAATCATCAGCAGTAGCATGTTCAGCATCTTCATCTTCACGGCGATGACGACGATAACTATGAGAATGTTGCTGGTGATGCGAAGCAGGTGGAGGAGGACGAAGAAGAAGAGGAAGGCAGTTACACGTGACACCTTCCAGCTTCCCTCTTTGGGAAGTTCCCATGGATTTGTTCGGGCCGTCTTGCGGCTGTCTTGGTCTCCTGTGATGCAGTTTTGGGAATCCCTTGGTACCCTCTTTGTCCGTCTTGGGGTCTTTTGAGGGCGTCTTGGGATTCTCTTGGCCTGTACTGGGGCCCTCTCGGCAGAGGGCCGTCGTAGGGCCGCCTTTGCACCGTCTTGGGCAGTTGAAGGCCTTCTGAGGCCTTGTTGGGTCCCACGTGAGGCAGTCTTAGGCCGTCGTGGGGTCGTCTTGGATGCCTCTTGGGCCCTCACGGTGTCTTCTGAGGCCATCGTTGGGCACTCGTGGGACCTTTTGGGCCCCCTTAAGGCCATCGTGGATGCTTCTGAGGCCGTTTTGAGCTGACGGAACCGAAAGGCGAGATTGCGAAACTACACGTGTATACATACACATATATCTATACACATGTGTATATGTATATATGGAGAGAGAGAGAGAGAGGAATCTAAACAAGGACGGATCAAAACCAAACAAAATTGTGAAGGTGGCTTCTTTGGGCTTGTCGGATGTCCTCTTGGGGCCATGTTGGGCCACCTTGGAGGCATCACGGGCCATCTGGACGCCATAGTCGGCCGTCGTGGGGCGATCTTGACCCGTATTCGAGACATCTTGGACGATATTGGTTACCTTGGTTGCCTGCCTGGGCCGTCCTGGAAACTCGGGGCGCGGACACACTATTCTCTCACAGAGGATCGTGGCCTTGAGAGAGTGGGGCCATAGTTTTTGTCAAGAGGTCGTGACCTCAGGAGCAGGGGGGGTATACAGCTGCCAGCGAGAAGCGGGGGGTCCCCTCTTTATCTAAAAAAGCAAAGGCCCCACTGAGCAGCTATTGGCATTCGAACCAGCCCACATCGTGCAGGCATGGTGGCGGATCTCTCTCCCTCCCGCCCTCCCTTCCCCCCCTCCTTCTTGTCCCTCGGGGAAGATGCCCCTCGGCTCTCGGGGAGAAGTCTACTGCACCACACGGGCACAGCGATTGCGCCAGTGCCGCTCCCGAGCGACCCGTTTTCCCCCGCCTCCCTTTTCCCCCACATGTTTCCCTCTCTCTCCTGCTGCTCTTCTGCTTGCCGGCGGTCTGCTGCGAGCGACGTCCCCTCCCCCCTGCCCCCCCCATTCCTCATCCTCCCTCATCCCCCTCCCTCATCCCCCCTCCCACATCCCCCTCCCCTCCCTCCCTCCCCCCCCCCCCCTCCCCCCTCCCCCTCCCTCATCCCCCTCCCCCCCCCTCCCTCCCTCATCCCCCCCCCCCCCCGCCCCCCGCCCCCCCCCCTTCCCCCTGCCGCGCCGTGCGCGGCAGCCCGCAGCCCGGGAGCGCTGCCGCCGGGCGGGCGGCCCGCGCGCGAGAAGGGCTGGGCGCGGAGAGGGGCGCGAGGCGCCACCACACGAGAGAGCGCGGGCGCAGCGGGGCGGCTGCGGGGCGGCCTTGGCCCGGCACGCCGCGTGGCCCTCCCCGCCAAGACATCTGGCGTCTCGAAAAAATCGAGGCAGAGGTTTTTCATCGTTTTCGGCCTCTCGGGGCCCTCACTGGGCCTCGGGACCGTCAAAATACGACTCGGGATGAAAAACTGGTCCCAGGGAAGTGGTCGAGAGGTCGGGGGCCCGCGTCTCGAAAAAATCGAGACGCCAGATGTCTGGGCGGGGCCCCCCCGGGAGGTCAGGCAGAGGGGGGAACGCAGGGAGGATCCTTCTGGATGAGGGGCAACGGGGGGGAGGAGGGCGGGGGAGGCGGGGGATGGAGGACGAGAGAGAGGAGGGGGATGAGCAGAAGGATATCGCACCGGAAGAGGAGAAGGATCCGAGGGAAGAGGAGACAAAGAGGAACATGACCATAGAAGCCAGCAGATCTGGCGCCTTTTTGGGGATCCCCCCTCTACTCACCTCTCTAGGCGTCCTTGATCTTGTCCTCCTCAACCTTTGACAAGAAACACCCTATGATTCCTCAATGCGGCTTGGGTTTCTTCGGCTTGAGTTCGACATGGAAGGTCGTAGCAATCCTAAAGAAACTATAGTTGCAGGGCACGCTGGGTTTCGTGGGCGTCAGTGCTTTTCGGAGCGCGCTCCCGAACTTCCAAGACACTTCCGTGCATTTGGGGTGCCTTGGGTTTCTTCGCCCGCCACTCGGGTTGTTCGCCCCGCGTTGCCCATCCATTCCGGGGTGCTCGCCAGTTTGGCAACGGGGCGCCGCCGCATTTCGGGGCGCATGCCCGAAGTCCCAAGAAATTGACAAGCATTCATGATATTTTGGGGTGTCTTCTCCAGCCACTCCGTCTGTTCCTCTCGCGCAGCTCATGTGCTCGCGGGGGCTGGTCGGTATGACATGGGAGCGCTGGCGCATTCGGAGCGCATCCCCGATATTCTAAAGCAATGGGTTGCAGTGTGGGTGCCTTCGACTCCTTCGTCTACCCTAGACTTGGCCAAATCGGCGTTGCTTGTTTGCGGCGGGGAGAAGCCGTCATCTTTCTGTTTGCGCAAGGCCCGCAGTTTGCATTCTTGATCGCCTTTGGTTTCTCGATATGCAATTGTTTAACGTAGGGGATCAAGAATCCGCTCGGGTTAGGGTACCCTGGGTTTTTCAGTTTGCTGCCGAAGTGCAAGAAACCAACTTGGGACCAAGAAGCCTCGGCTGATTTCAGGGATGGGTCTCTTGCACAGGTGTTCTTGTGGACCATGTTCAGTTATCACTGTTCTCCATCTCCCCCTCTCGACGGACGAGGAGGACGAGGAGGTGGGAGGTGGACTCAGAGTGGTGAGGAAGGAGGGATGAGGAGGAGTGAACGAGGGCGGTAGGGAGGAGGAGTTCGACGAGGTGGGCGAGTATGAGAAGGAGGATAGACGTACGAGCAGGAGAAGTAATATGTGGGTGTGTCAGAGGGTGAGAGGACGGAGATAGTGCAGGATCAGGCCATGAGGGTTTGGCGGCGCGTGTTGAGCAAGCCTTCTGCACGCAGCGCGCGCATCGCTCTGGGCACTGTGCGCGACGCCAGGGGAAAGGACACGAGTCATGTTATGTTTCTTTCAATTCGGGGTCCCTGGATGTCCGGACACTTTCCCTTGTTTTTCATCCTGCGTCGGTTTCCACCATCCTGGGGCCCGGCGACGGCCCCCAGAGGCCGAAAAGTATGAACAACCATGTCCTTCTTGATTTTGTTCGATACGTTGGAGCGCACTCCTCTCGGCCCAAGATGACCTCAGGGGCGACCCCCGCCGGGACACGGCAACCGCGGGCCGCTCATGCCGCAGTCGCGGGACCCCCATGACGCCCATGCCGTCGGGAGTCATTGCCGCCGAGCCCCCGCTGCCCCCGTGGGCACACGCGCGGCACGCGCACGACCGCCTGGCGCTGCTGCCGCTCGAGGGAGACGGCGAGGCGCGGACGGGGCGAGGACGAGGACGAGCCCGTCCCAGGGCGTTCCGGAACGCTCTCAGAGCGTGCCAGCACGCGCGTTCCGGAACGCTCTGAGAAGGCCGCGGGGCCCGACACATCCTCCGGAGCCGCGGGATCTCAGGGCTTCTCGATTTGTCCTCGCCCGGTTGCATCCTCGTCCTGGCCTCGTCTCGGAGGCTGCCGCGCCCCGCGCCGAGACGGCGGGCTGCCCGCCGGCCCTGGCGCTCTGGGCGCTCTGCGGCCTGCTGTGCTGGAGCCTCGTGGCCGTCGTGGCCTCTGCGGGCCCCGCGCGCAGCCCCGGCCACGGGGCGCGCGGGGCCGACCGCAGGGTCACCGTGGTGCCGCAGCTTGCTGGCAGGGAGCTGCCGCCGCCGCCGACGGCCGCCGCCGAGGGGGGCGCCGAGCCCTGGCAGCCCGCCGCGTGGGCCGAGGATCGGTGGACGAGATACGTAGCACCCCGCAGTTGCGGATAAGAGTCACTCTGCGAGCAGGTCCACCTGGTGGCGGAGGAGGGGGGATGGCGGCGAGGATGACGTCGCGGGGATGGTGATGGGGACGAGTACGAGGATCACGGGGATGAGCAGGCGTATGGGCATCCATAAGGGACGTCAGCAGTCTGCGAGGCTCTGAAGAAGCCTGCCGCAAGCGCATAATTCTCACAGAGTATGCAACGAGCCCGCCGCAGGCGCCGATTTCTTCGTTCAAGCAGTAATGTGGGCGGGTCGCGGGTGGGTCGCGGGCCGGGTCGCGGGTGGGTCGCGGGTGGCTCGCGGGTGGCTCGCGGGTGGGCCGCGGGTGGATCGCAGGTGGGTCGCGGGTGGGTCTAGGGTGGGTCGCGGGCCGGGTCGCGGGTGGGGTCGCGGGCAGGGACGCGGGTGGGAATACAACAAACAACATACAACACACAACAAACAACGTACAATACGCAACAAACAACAAACCAACAACACCACGCACACAACCAACAATAAACACCACACAACGAACAGCGCACATCAAACAACAAACAAGAACACAACACCAACAATAACAGCAACAACAACAGCATACCAACAACAACACCAACAACAATATCAATTACTAGCACGTGGGGACACTCCGTTCTCACCAGTGCCCGGGTTTTCATACGACGCCCGCCAATACCCCCACTTTGTGGGGGGGCCGGTTCAAGCTCTACCACATTTCCAAACGACTCTTCGCCACTACCCACACCCAGCTTCCCGCCCTATGACGTTCGGACACTTCACTTCGTGGCCTGCGGACGACCGTGGCTACTACACTGGCGCATGGGTACAGTGACTTGTTGTGGTAACATTTTCTGGACGCTAGCTTAGTATACGACTTTTCCCCCTGTTCCAACACTGGACACCTGTACTGGTTTTTGGTGGTAACGTGTTCCTGACGCTAGAATAGGAAACCACGGTAAACCGTTGTTTGAAAAGTAGCTCGCGCGAGCTCATGTAACATAAATGTTGAAAAACCATCGGTTTTTTAGGATTCGGACAGCGCGCGCGGGTAGAAATTTTGAAAATTCGTACAGATGTTTTTCGAGGACCTACGGTGCGATTCGTATGATTTTATGTTGCGCGGTGCTAAAATTCATAAGAAACCCAATGGTTTTTGAAGATTTCGGCGTGCGCGCGCGAAAAAAAAACGAATGTGTCCCGCATGGTATTATTTGACAGGGATGATGGCCCTGGCAGGTGCGCAACCGTTGTCGCAGAAGTTCGAAAAAGTTGCTCGCAAAAGCCCGTTTGACAGAAATGTTTAAAAAGTGTTGGGTTTCCTACGAATCCGCAAGAGCGCGCGGGATGAGATTTTGACAATTTTTTGTTGAAAAACCATTGGTTTTTTGATGTTTTTATGTTAAAATCGCTGCGAACACTAAGGTTTTGGAAGGATTTCGTCTTGCGCGCGCGAATGTCCACTTTACCTTATTTTTTGCAAGGGATTCTTGAAATTTGATTATATTAGAACAAGAAATGTCATTTTCTATTGTTTTTTGCAAGGGAAAGCGGATTACAACAAAACAGCCGGATCCTGTACACACCCTCTTTTCTGAGGCTTCCTCACGAAAATGATGAAAATGTAGCTGCGGCCTAGGCGGCGCAGGGGGGGCGCGCACCAGGGGGCCCAACAACAATTATTCTTTAGAATAAATAATGTTCAACATCAACAACAACAACAACAGCAACAACAATAACGATCACGACAACGACAAGGACAACACCAGCAACAGCAACATCAATCATGTAAAGACTGCTCGCTCTTGCCTGCTCGCGTGCCACTCAACACACACACATACTTATGTATATCCATCGAACTCTCGATACCCGCCTTCTTCGTCTTCGATCGCACCCCCTTGGGGGTACATCCTTTTTAACTTGCAGCGTGGTTGCCGTGCAGCCCCTTTGGCAGGGGAAGAGAGGATGGATGGAAGGAAGGGGCACGGGGGAGGATGGAGCACGAGAGAGAGAGAGAGTAGCAGGAGGAGGGTTAGGAGCAGAAAACACGTGGTATAACCAGAAGGGCAGATCGGGCGGGTAGACCTTAATTGGCGGGTCGGGAAGGCGGGCCCAGGCGGCCAGGTCGAGTAGGCGGGTTGCTGAAGCATGCGTCCTGCATGAATCGCGAAAATCTCGAGCGATAGCGCGATTCCCAAACAAGTGGCACGAGTGCCATGCCTCTTGCACAAAAAGGAAAAGGGATGAGGAGGAGGAGGAGCAGCAGCAGCAGCAGCAACAGGAGCAGGAGGAGCAGGATGAGCAGGAGGAGGTGGAGGTGGAGGAGGAGGAGGGGGCGAAGAGGGAACGAGACATCGGAAAAAGGAGGGAACAAAGAGGGCCGCAAGAGGGGCTTCAGAGGGCGACCTCGCGGAGGCCCTAAGGGCTGTCCCCCGCAAGATGGTTCCAAAGACTTGTAACGTGTTCCCAGGAGCCTTCCAAGAGACACCCAATAAGGAGCCCACAGAGGGTCCTAAGAGGTCCCCGGGAGCCCCAACAGCCATTGACGAGACTCCCCGGAGGCCTCCAAGGTCCAAGGAGGTCCGGAAGAAATTATTGAGCTGACCCAGCTGCTGGAGGCTCGAAGTGCAAACTGCCACATGTTACGGCCTTGTGCTGGGAACGCTTGTCAAGCTTAGTCGTTTTGCGCACAGATTCTGTCGGGTATATCCTTGGGGGCTGGCGAACTTGTATACGCCTCTCGCATCGGGGCCCCTCCTATAGACCAGACTTCCGGCCCGAACTTTTTCGTTCGCCGGCGCCAGTACGCCCACTGATAGGAGTGAATTCAGCGTGGATTTATTTGTCTCTTCGTTTTTGCATTTGATTGTTGTTTCGTTTCATTTGCGCACGTCCACCGATCATGTGGTTTAACCATCTGTGTGAAAACCGTGTGGACAGCAGGCTTCGACTCTCCTCGGTTCTCCTGTTCCTTCCTCATCGTATTCATTATTATTCCCCCCCTCTTGTCGTCATTGTCATTCTCGTTGTTTCCCTCCCGCCGTCCTCTTCTTCTGTCAGGGGCCGCGGGAGGCTCCAAGAGGGTGCCAGGAGAGCTTCAAGAGGGTTCCAGGAGAGCCCAGGCGGGCCCAACAAGGGTTGCAAGCAAGCCCTAGGACCCCCCAGAAAAACCTTGTGGGGGCCCAAGGCAGCCCGCACACATGGCTCCCCACAGATTTTCCAATGAATTTCGGCCGTGGTGAGGGGTATCCAGCCCTTCTTCCGCCCCGCCCTGCCTAACCTTCGATGCTTCGCGTATGCCCGCCAGCCCCGCCAAAAACAGTCACCAGGCGAGTTGCCCTGATCAGGGATGCGTAGTAGCAGCATGCGGCGCCGCAGTGAGCCGCATCCGTCTTCGCGGGTTCTTAAGAGGAGGGTAAGGAGAGAATTAAGTAGGAGAGAACAGGGAGGAGGAGGAGGAGGAGGAAGAGAGACGATGACAAGGAGCAGGAGGAGAAGGAGGAAGGTGGGGAAGGAGAAAGTGAAACGTGCTAGAGCATGAAGAGGTAGGAAGAGGGCAGAGGAACTTGAGGGAGGTAGGAGGAGGTACGAGTAGCCAAGGGGAGACAACCGGCGCACCTGTGATCCGCGTGGATCACGCGTGCGCCGAGTGCCAAGGCGAGCGAGCGTGTAGGAATATGCCGGAGGAGGTGGGAACAGTAGGCGGATGTAGTCGGAAATAAGAGGAGGCAAGAGCAGGCAGGAGTATGCAGTTGCAGGGACGAATCCCGAGCAAGTTGCGTCAATCAGGGAAGTGCAGCAGCATGTCGCGCAACCAAGAGGGGGATAACCCTTTCATCAGAAAGGACAGGAGGACGCAGGAGGACACGGAGGATGCACAGGAGCGGGGAGAGAGGAGAAGGAGGAGGAGGAAACGGAGGAGGGGGGGAGGAGGAGTTGGACGAGGAGCAGGAAGAGGAAGGAGGGGAGAGGAAAAACGACACGACGACGACAGGAATCAATCATCGAGGCCTTTTGCGGGTCTTTCATCCTTGGTGCTCGCTAGAAGCCCCGTGGGGTCATCTTTGGGCCATCGTGGGGCCTTTTTGGAGACCTGTTGGGTCATCTTGGAGCCCTCTTGGGGCCTTCTTGGGGGTCTCTGAGGCCCCTATTGGGGGCCTTTGGGGCCCTCTTGGGGCCATCTTGGAAGCCGTCGGTCCCAAACAGGGCCCCCCGCCGCTCTTGAGCCCCTAAAGTCGCCTCGTGGGGCCCTCTTGGGGCGCTCTTGGGGCACTCTTGAGCACACATAGATATTCACAGAACAAACACACTTACAACTGAATACACATATTCCTTTTTTATATTTTTATAAGCCCGGGCGGGGGGAAAACCCATCCCCCCCCAAAACAATTAGCCTGGCGAAGGACCAAACCATATGCAGCTGCGAGTACCGCACGGATATGAGACGAAGGAGGGGGCACGCAAACTAGGCCCCTCTTCTCATAGGCACCCCGCCACTGCATGGACGAGGCACAGGGCAGCGCGGGCAGGAGGTGGCGGGCGGAGGAGGAGAGCTCACTGGGGCGAGCCAACACATCAGTATCATCATCGCATCATGAGACCTGTTACTGGGCACGCAGGAAGAGGTGACGGAGACACCGTGTAGATGTCGAAGGCAGGTCAGCAGCGGCAGAAACGAGACGGGGAAGCGCGCGGTCAAGAAGCGATGGGAAGCAGGAGGAGCGAGAGACGAGGGGAGACGTTTTTGCCTCCAGACCGACAGCGAGCCGCGCAGAATGCAGCGCGCAGGCGGCGCCGCGCGAAAGTGCCTGGGAAGTCCTCGCCGACGCGGTCTGGTCATCCCGAGGGAATCCCATCGACGCGCGGGGGTTGTCCACTGCGACTCTGAGTCAACGGATAGCGCCCCCGTACTGCGTGGCGAGGCGTGCGAAAATGGCGCGATCTGGGTGAAATCCCCCGACAGGCGCCGGTCATCCTCTGGCGAGAAATCCCGACGACGAGCTGGGGTCATCCAAGCGTCAGCGACAACCAGCGCGCGCCGCTGGCTCGTGCGGGGCCGCTCCCCAGGTCAGGCCTCGCGGATGAACTCGCTGAAGCCCAGCTCTCTGGCGAGGGCCGTCGCCTCCCTCCTGCACCGCCGCTTCGCGCGCGCAGCAATGCCCCAGCTGCTTCCGCAAGCCCTCCGGCGGCCCTGCCAGGAAAAACTCGATGAGCGGCGCCCGCGTGAGCAGGAGATCCTCGTGGCGCGTGGCGCGCGAGAGCAGCACGTAGAGCTCCAGCCACCAGTCGTCGTCCTCCTTCTTGCCGTTCCCGACCTCGTGGCGGCCGCAGTCCAGGATCACGCCTGGGCGGCGTCGGTCGAGGGAGCGGCGCGCAAGACAGCCGACGGCCCAGGGCGAGAGTCCACGGGACCGAGAAGGTCCGGCTGCGGACCGCTCGCGTTCGAAGGGTTCGGCCGTAGACTGCCCGGTGGCGCCGTTCCCCCGCCCCGCCGCCTTCCCGCATGGTGCGCCCCTGGCACGCCACCGTGGTGATGACCCTGCCGTGTGAAAACGGGAAGCCCGTCCGGGTGACCTTGGAGGTGCGGAAGGTGAACGGCTCCGACGTGCGGGGCTCGATGAACACCAGCGGGCCCGTGAGGTCCCCCGTGAGGCTGTCGTCGTGGCGGGCGGCATGCGAGGTCTGCCACTGGGGCCTTCGGTGGAGCTCCCTATGGGGCCACGAAACGTGTGAGGGGTGTGCCGAAATGGGGTGGCGGCGGCATGCGAACGCAGCCATTTGGGCCTTCGGTGGAGCTCCCTGTGGGGCCACGCAACGTGTGAGGGGTGTGCCAAAATGGGGTGGCGGCGGCATGCGAACGCAGCCATTTGGGCCTTAGATGGAGCTCCCTATGGGGCCACGAAACGTGTGAGGGGTGTGCCAAAATTGGGCGGCGGCGGCATGCGGACGCAGCCATTTGGGCCTTCGGTGGAGCTCCCCATGGGGCCACGAAACGTGTAAGGGGTGTGCCAAATATGGGGTGGCGGCGGCATGCGGACGCAGCCATTTGGGCCTTAGATGGAGCTCCCTATGGGGCCACGAAACGTGTGAGGGGTGTGCCAAAATTGGGCGGCGGCGGCATGCGGACGCAGCCATTTGGGCCTTCGGTGGAGCTCCCCATGGGGCCACGAAGCGTGTAAGGGGTGTGCCAAAAATGGGGTGGCGGCGGCATGCGGACGCAGCCATTTGGGCCTTAGATGGAGCTCCCTATGGGGCCACGAAACGTGTGAGGGGTGTGCCAAAATTGGGTGGCGGCGGCATGCGGACGCAGCCATTTGGGCCTTAGATGGAGCTCCCTATGGGGCCACGAAACGTGTGAGGGGTGTGCCAAAATTGGGCGGCGGCGGCATGCGGACGCAGCCATTTGGGCCTTCGGTGGAGCTCCCTATGGGGCCACGAAACGTGTGAGGGGTGTGCCAAAATTGGGCGGCGGCGGCATGCGGACGCAGCCATTTGGGCCTTCGGTGGAGCTCCCTATGGGGCCACGAAACGTGTGAGGGGTGTGCCGATGATGATGGTGATGATGATGATGATGGTGATGATGATGACCGACAACCGCGATGTGGATGATGATGATGACGATACTCATGATGATGAGCATGATGAGGATGGTGATGATAATGGGAGGAGGGGGGAGGGGGCAGCGGGAGGAGGAACGCGGGGCACCGTCTCTTCAAAACGAGGACCCAACACCACAGGATGGTTGGGAAAAACCGGACTCCCGAGATCTGGGGCTCTGGGACCTTCCGAACGGGCCTCGAAGCGGCCCTCCGGGCCTCGCAAGGCGGTTTGCCAAGCCTTCGCAGCACACCTGGGGCGATCAGGGGGGCCCTCGGAGACGTCCCAGAGACGCCCAAGACAACACAAGAGCGCTCCAAGAAACCGTCATACCCCCAAAGATCGCCCCAAAACGTTCCAAGAGGCCTCCAAGAGCACCCCCAGGAAGGCCCCAAGAGGGACAAGTTATTGATTTTACGTAGGTTTTAAGTGAATTTGGGGTTCTCCTCTTTTCGGCTTCCCGACGTTCCAAGACGGCGGTCTTCTGGGCGTCCGAAGCCGCCTGGGGGGCTCCAAAATCGCCCCACAACCATCCGAAAGGGCTTCCAGGCAGTCCAAGAGAGCCCCAAAACGGCACAACAGGGGTCCAAGATGGCCCTCAGAGAGCCCCATGGCGGCCCAAGATGGCCCCAAGACGCCCTCCGAAGCATTCCAAATCGTGACCGGGGCGTTCAGGGAGACCGCGGTTAGAGGCAGGTTGGCCTGAGTAAGCCCCAGAGGCTCCCAGAACACGCCCAGGAGGCCTCCAGAAGGCTTTAAAAAAGCCTGAGAACTTTGGTGAGGCCCCCAGAGGTTCTCCAAGGAGGAGCCTCCGCAAAAAGAGCTGAGGAGGACGGGGAGCATGCCCAGGGTATGGCGAGAATTACGAAACATACACATGGAGGGAGGATAACGAACAACATTATTATAACGGCGATGCCAGAAAAGGCAGCAAGGACCTTCCTGCCATTTCCGCCTGCATACCAAACTTCAAGGACCAAGGTGCATGGCGCGAAGCGCCACTGCAGTCTTGTATATATATATGTATATATACACATGCATACACATACATACATACATACATACATACATGCATGCATGCCTACATACCTACCTACCTACATGCACATACATACATATATACATACATACATACATACATACATACATACATACATACATACATACATACATACATACATACATACATATACGTGTGTACATATGCATACACCTACTTACTCGTATGTTGGTGTGCGTATTTATACTGCGTATACCAATTTATCCACCTGCATATACATATGTATACATAGATACATCGATATACTACGCATGCATGTACATCGACATTGCCATACATACATATATATATATATATATCCTTGTAACCATACGACAATCCTTAGGGTGATAGGGATGCTCGGGGGGGGGGCGAACCAACGTTTCACTCAATCGATCTCACAGTCGGTCTCACCATCGATCTTAGTATCGATCTTACAATCGTTCTCAGTATTTGTCTCACCATCGATCTCACTATCGGTTTCACCAGCGACATCACTATTGATTTCACTATCGATTTCATTCTCAGTCTCACGGTCGATCTCACTACCGATTGCACGATCGATCGATCTCACTACGGGACGCCGACAAGACAACGACGGGACATCGACGGGACACCGACGGCACACCGGCGGGACACCCGCAGGACACCCCCGGCCGCCGCCGGACAACCCCAGGGGGCAGTGCTTTTGCCCAGCGGCGCCTTAGCCAGAGGAAGGTTAGTTCCTCTCGCCCGCCCTCGCAGCTGCGCCTCGCCCGCACGCACGACACGACCACGACACCGAAATCGATTTCCCGGCGGGAGGCTCTGTTTCACTGCGATCTCACCTCTCGCATTTGATACATATATTTGTATAGTTGTGTGTGTAGAGAGAGAGAGAGAGAGAGAGAGAGAGAGAGGGAGAGAGAAACTGATGTTTTTTTAATGTTAACTTCGACCCCCAGGGGTCGGTCTCGATCCATTCCCCAGGACCGGTTTTTCATCCTGAATCATTTTTCGTCGGTCCCAGGGCCTGGCAGGGGCTCCTAGAGGCCGAAAATAGCAAAAACCGTTCGTCGTGATTTTTCCATGGCTCGAGGGGGTCTGGGAAGGATGCGCCCGCCGCTGGCACGGGTGCTGGTGTTCTGTCGCCGGCTCCGGCCACGGGGAGCCCGCAGGAGCAGGCCCTGCCAGGCTCGGGCCTGCAAGTGCTCGGCGGCGAGCTGGGGCGCCAGTCGGACGGCGCGCCGCCTGCTGCGGCCTGGGCAGATTCGGGGACCGCCACCGCTACCACATCCATTCCCTGGGCCACCTGGACGTTGTGGACGGGAAGAACATGTAAGCGTTTTTTTGTTCCTTTCCAGGGTAACAGTGGGCCGAACCCCCCTCTCCCCCCCCCTGGGTAATGCTAACGATGGCACTGGCGGGGGGCCTGGATCCCCCCCTCCCCTCCCCTACATGCTGTGGTGCGCACAGGCGATTGATGCGCTGGTGGCGCGGACGCACCCTGGCGGGTGCACGCCGCTGCCGTTGTTACCGTTACCCTCCCGAACCCCCGCCTCGCCCCCGGGTAACGACCATTATTTGGGAAAGAAAAACAAACTGCCTTTCATATCCATACATCCATACATCCACGGTTGAAGCCGGCTGGGGCTCTGAATTGGCCAAGTCGGCCAGCAAGGAAGGGGGGCGAGATTAGAGGAGCTGGGTTCGGGAAGACGTTGGTTGCCCTTTTCGTTTTCGGGCCCCGGGACCCTGAAAAAACGGATCATGGGGGAACAGTTGCACCAGGTGGACCCTGGGAGGGGCCTGGAGCTAGAGTTTGAATGGATCTGCTGTAACCCCCCCTCTCGACAGGCTCTCTCGGGGCCCATCCAGCTCAGACCCCCCGACCGCCTTCAAATGCACGGCTTCGCGTGCCAGGCCCCTGGGCAGTGAGCCCTTGGATGCGTTTCTTTTCCGCGGAGGCCCCAGGCGGGATGTGGCCCTGCGACCGCGCATCCAAGGGACCGCGCCTGGGAAACCAGACCCAGAGGGCCTGGATGTTTACACGATCGCCGCTCGTGAGGACCACTCAGGCCACAGCCAACTCGGCCTCGTCGACTTCGACGACCAGCACTGGGACCACCGGTGTGACCGAGACGATCTTGCAGGACCCTTTCCTCCAGCACGGTAACGGCGAGTTCTCGTACGATGATGTGCTTGATAGGCTGCCGACCAACAACTTCCGCACGGTGAACGAGGACAACCCGCTGTTCAACCCCGCGTACCCACCCGTGCAGACGACAAGGCTGCCCGATTTTGTGGCCCGCTTTGACTTGGTGTTCGGCCTCGAGGACGCCACTGACGGCTGGGGGCGAGTACCCCCACAATCCTTCTTCGACGTCCCCGACCTCAGGGCGCTCCGCGCGGCCCTGGTGTCGCCTCTTCGCGCGGAGGACTTCGTCGACGAGTGCGAGAAGTATCTCGACCCGTCAGGCCCAGACCGGATCGTTGTTTTTGGAGTCCTAGAGGTGCCTCTGTCAGCCAGTTTCGGCGTCACCGCCGAGGCTCGCTCCCAGACCGTGTGGCGGCTGGAGCGTTTTTTCAGCCGCATCTGGTATTTATCCACTGACGAGTCGTTGGCAGGCGTCACCACGATGCCGCTGGGTTTCTTCGAGCCGTACATGCGCGGCCGGACTGACGAATTTGTCGAGGCGTACCGAGCCGCCCGCGTCGACGGCGGCCACAAGACACAGAGTGTTTTGGCGGCCTGGGGCGTCTACTCGCAGAGGAGTGGGGGCGCGTATACAGACTCGTCTTCTCCTCATCCCGCACCCCTGCTCGATAGGGGGGGAGGCGGGGAAAGGTGGGCATGCCCAGGTCACCTGCAGGGGCGCGAAGATGATCGCGCTTCGCGCGTCGCGATCAGAAAGCCAGCACGATAGCAGCGCAGGCCCGAAGTTGGGTGACCCACATGACCCACATTGATACTTCTCGGCCGTAGCCTCCCAGGAACGGATCGAGGATTACGGAGTCGCCAGAGCCCAACGCGCTCGGGTACGGCTCTGCCGAGTGGACGGCTGTCGTGAACGCCGCCATCGACACCAGGTCAGCCAAGCGCAGAGGGGGGTAGGGGGAGGGGGAAGGCGTCTTAGAAGCGCCCCCGCTTGTTATAAGGCGCGCCTTGTCTATAGATGCAGGGCCAGCACCTTCTAAGAAGCGGCCTCCTTCTAACACGACTCCCCCCCTTCCCCCTTACCCCCTTTTGCTCGACGCCAGCCAGGAACGAGGCGGAGGCCTGGCTGTCCTCCGGCGGTGGCGAGGGGCTCGGCGTCGACGCACGGCCCGTCCCACTGGAGGCCTGGTTCCACGCACTGTCCAGCCACAAGTTCCTGATCTCTCCGATGGGGACGGCGATCCAGTGCTCGAGGTGAGGGTGTTTTTGTTTTTCCTCCCATGGGTCACGCTCGCTACCCGAGCCAAACCCCCTCCCTTCCCCCTGGGTAACGCTAACAAAGGTACGGGGGTCGGGGGGGACCAACAGGAAAAACGCGTGCGCGTGCGCGTATGCACCTCGGGCAGCTCAAGAGCATGTTCCCGGAGGGCCCTGAACGCCTTTCAACGCCAGACATCCGACGTCGTGATGTCACGTGGCTCCTCAGAGGACTGGACATCCGCCGCATGCTGTGGTGCACGCAGTTGATTGATGCGCCGGTGGCGCGGACGCAACCTGGCGGGTGCACGCCGCTGCCGCCGTTACTGTTACCCTCCCGCCCGAAACCTTGCCCCCCCTCCTCCTGGTAACGACCCAGGAAAGAAATAACAAAACTAACAAAAAACGGTCTCGAGGCTGGCCGAGTCGCTTTCGATGCTAACGGTGCCGATCGTCAAGCGCGGCGCCTACCGGACGCACGACGACCTGGTCAGCCTCGGGTTCCCCATCGTGGTCGTGGCAGAGTGGTCCGACATCACCTCGGACGCCCTGTCCAGGTGGTGGGAGACGTTGTCGCCCCGGCTCGGGCCTTTCCGCCGGGATTGCCTGACGTCCGACGGTTTTTGGGAGATCTTGACGACGGG